ATCTCCAGCATGTCTTGAGTTCACAGGAACCGCTAACACCATGACATTTGCATTCAATTTTCATGTTATTGTTGATCACCTAAAGTGGAGGTTTAGAATTGAAAGCAATTCTTGTAACAAAGACTGCCTATAATAGGATTAAAATTGCCCTGGTCACTAAAGTGGATAAACACTTTGGTTGAGCACATCGCGTGTGGTCTCCAATGTAATTGAAACCTTACGACTGAATGACATATTTAACAATAAGTGAATCTAAACTTTAGTTATTCAGCTCTTCTAATCGTGTATATGCTGTCAGAATTTACAATTGCTTTGAAAAGATTTCAACTCAACCCTAAACTCACATTTAAATCATCTTTTGCTCCTAAGAAATATTGAAATACATTCAAAATTGTGTGAAATACTAATGTGTTGTCAAACTTTTCTTGACATTTGTTATTTGACAAGACAGATTGAATCAGGACACTTTTCATATGGGTGTTAAAGCTCTCAAAATATTGTAAGAATATTATTTTTGTTAATATTTCAGATAGTAGTGTAAATAACATAAAATTATATGCCACTATTGATTATACCTGTAATTCACTCCATTTATATTCCATAATTTTATTGATAATTTCAAGTATCTTATAGTTCTACAAACCTTTATCAAAATATTTTCTACATTTATCATATATTTAGTTACTCTTATATTCAAAGTTGTTATAGGATCAAATCTATGCTAATTCATATTTAATTAAAAACATGTGTTTCGGTTCAGCATAAATATCAAGTGAAAATTTGTAACATTTCTTTAAATAGTTCTCAATGTGAACTTCTCATAAACAAAATTTATATTTCAAAATAAGTTCACTAATACAAATTGTAGTGTACTGAATTTGTGACAGCATTTTTATTTTATATAATCAAATACACTGTACTTTGTATGGAAAAGATAGCATACCTTTCTTCCAGCCTCGTTATTATGGAGATTCATGAGACTGCGGGCACTGTTAGGTTTGGTACTTCGGGCCGATTTCACATGTCTTGAGTCAACAAAAGTCTTCGCAAATGCGATACCAAACGCTATATTATCACTACAGCCTATATATCGTCAATCATTGATCGATTAATAATTATGAATTAATAGATTATAATAAGCCATTACCGGCCCATTGGAATCCCTGGGCGGGACTCATAGTGATGGTGCGATCACATCCACATTTCAAGAGCTGTCCGTTAGAGCAGTGTTTGGTGACGGCGTGTGCGACCCCTGCGCTCGATATCGCGTGTATGAACGCTGCCTCACGAGTGCCTATCAATGGTTTAATTTCTTGCCATTTAATAATATTTTCAAAATATTATTATCGTAAAAAGCCATTAAATTATCAAATAATGAGTTTACTTAAGGAATATGTCATAAAATTACAAAAGTGCTGCAAGATCTAACATGTAAGCATGCATAACATAAAGCTATTTAATAAAATATATCATGGTCTTTTAAAATATTATAGGAGAATATTTTTGGGACTATTGAAAATATTCTATAAAAATAAATAACTCTCAAAAGTGCACAGGTTGCCATAAAGATCCAAGGTTAATTTTGGAATTTGATAATTCATTTAAATATTAAGACT